CAGCTTCGGCATTCGCAGTCCATCCTGTACACACCGAAGCGGTGAGTGGAGTTCGAGAATATCATTTAAATGCCGGGGCGGATAAATGTAAAAATCCAGTCACCAGGAAAGAAAACGCTTCCAAACGGCACATTTTTTAGGTAGCTAATATCTCTGGCAGAGCGGAACTATTGATGAGTGTCTTCGTGCTGGCAGCTCTTCTATACTACCATAAATGCCTGCAATATGATGTCTTCAGCAAGCTCAACGTTGTGGTTTTTTCTACTCTGATCGTGTTGGCAACGTTTAGCAAAGAGCAGGGCATCACCGCACTTGTGAGTTCTACTGCACTTCCATAGTGATCCCTACTTGTAGTTGTTGTAGAACATGATGAATTTCGGGTCGTAACGTTGCTGCAGAGCTCATGAATTACTTCTCTTCACCCAAGAAAGACGCTCAGGGGATTCACGGCATCAATAACCAATCCCGGCAAAAAAGTATCGAAGAACTTCCTCAAACCAATTAAGGGGAGACGATGGTCTTTAAAAATCTCAGAACATCTTACTGAGTGGAACTATGCGGAACTTCTTTCCTCGCATGGCTGTCCCATGGCTAGTGCCCTTTCAGCAAGGTCTAGAGTCGAGAGGTCTCTAGTGGGATGGAGGAAGAGGAGCAAGACGCATTTTGCATAATTTCAGCAAGGTTAGGCACCACTACTGCTGAAACAGATCAGTTTGGAAAGTATTCCTTCAAAGTAGCTAGAAATAACTTGTTCTCCACCTTTGTTTGCAGCGCAACTCTTCACTTTTATTCATGAATTCACTTCTATTAGTCCCTGCACTGGCGTAAAGTCCATTCCGGTGGCTGTCGGAGCGATTCTGATAACTACAAGCTCGACGCTGCCAAAACGAGCCACAGCCGGTCATTGTCTGTTCCCATACATAGCCTTACTTAGAAATCTGCTCGAGCATTTCCTGAATTTCTTACAGTTGCTATTGTTGTATTGATGGCGAAGTTTGTCAGAGCTGAGGTCTGACCTCCTCTTCCGAAAACAGCGTTCGGCTCGGGTTATCAGATACGAGACGAGACGAAGTGTTCATGGTTACCTATGGAGGAGAGAGACGACACCCTCTTCGCTAATATCTCTTCTGTTATATTGCACTTTCCGAGAAGCCCCTCTCCAGTTTAATAAACAACATACAGCGTGCGCTGCACTCCCTTTTCAGTCTATCCTTCGAGAACGTGATTGGCCTCCGTGGTTTGCGTCATTATATCTTCATTGTACGCACACAATGTAGGTGATCATGCAGGTCGTGAACTTCGTCATTCCTTGTCGATAGCCTATTCCAACAGCAAGTCCTACCCAAATCCTGTGTTCATATAATAAGATTCATATAGCAAAGTTGCAACGGAATAGTTTGTTAGTCATGAGTTTGAGAGCACCTTCATTAGTTAGCCTTTTATTTTAAAAGAACAAAAAGCTCCTCTCCATAAAGCGTTCCGGATGGAATCGAAGTTCCATCCCAGCTTTTTGAATGCGTTCAGTTGAAGCTGGGTTGATATGCACGACGAAAGACGTACATGCGAATAAATCAACACGCCTACGAAGAAAGGGAAACATATGCAAATCAGTCTACTGCAACAGAGGAGATACCAAACGATATTATGTGACCATAGCAGTAACGGAATCCCTCAGGGAGTCTCTGAAGTCAACAGGACCAGAATACGAACTATTGCCATTAGTATAGACACGAAAGAGGGGTGCTGGACATTAATACCCGTTACGCAGAGCAAGCCGGCTGTTCCGCACACGAAGAAGAAAAGCATTTCCAATCTTTGATGAAGCCATTGGGTGAGATCCGGCAAGGGACTGTCTGGTTGCTTCACCACAGCGAGTGATCGTAATGGATACGTTGGAAATGACGGAGGGGCCTAAAAGGGTCTATGGTTGAAGCTCCTGGCTAAAAAAGTTGCAAGATGCTCGCCAGTGCTGCTGCGTGAGAAGCTCGATGGTTGAGAAGGAGCAGAACTCTTAAGCCGGATGGCAAAAGCCCGCCATCGGACTACACAAGACTTGAAGGTAGTGAAGGCCGTAGGGGCAGCGCCTCCATTCTGAGCAAGCCAGTCGAAGTCAAGCGCAGGTGGAAAGAATACTTACAACTAGACAGAGTAATGAACAAAGAATTCAACCACAAATAGAGCCTACAAATAGAAGCAACAGATGGTTTTGTCGCAGATGGATAGAGGTTGAGGTGGTTCGAGCAATGGGGAAGAAGGTAGGGTTGTGATGGGATATCAATTGGGTTATGTAAAGCGCTCAGGGAGTTCGAGATTAAGTGGTTAATAAGTTCCTGTATACTGTGAGCGCTGAAGGAAAATTCCCAGGTTCGCCAACGAGTCGCTCTGTCTCTTCCATCTTCTATTAGAAAGGGGTAGGGACAATAAGTTGTTCTAACTACCGCGGAATCAAGTTGACTGTGTGTATTGTGTATTGCATGAAGCTGTATTAGAGGCTAGTCGGCTAAAGATTGAATAAACTTGTTCCGATTTCGCAGGAGCAGTTCGCGGCTCCATGCTACAAAGGTTCGCTACCTGTTCATAGCTAGAGAAGTAATGGGCGGTGCCCATTCCTACTCTCAGCACACTGGAAGTCGCCACAATAGGGCTCATAAGAACACCACCCTCAAAACCATGGATACACAGTGGAAACTATGTAGTATAGCATACTAGGACATGCTGCAGAAATGGCAGAAGGTGCTAGCGAAAACGCACTTCAACAGAACGCTCAAAAACCAAGCTCCTCAGCTCATAGGAACGCGTGGAGCCAAACGTCGACCGCTGCGAAATAGTTGAAAAAATACAAGACTCCAGGCACTCAGGAAATGACCGAGTCGTTGACGGTACGTGGATCAGTCTGCATAGGCTCGAGTAAACGTGGTGTGAATGAAGTTGAGGGAATCCAGTAACATCTTTGTAATCGAAGTAGGAGAAATCACGAATGGCAAACTCAGCAGAAATAAAGATGTTTGAATGAACCTGCGTTTGGACGCGGTTGGAGCAGCTAGAAATGTGGGCGTAAGAATGGTTATGCAGACAGCTTTCACCAGTATGTAGAAGAGGCAAGATCAACACTTGCGCCTCCAAGAACATGAGATTATAATGAGAGAAGCGATGGAATCCGAAGCTTAAAGATAGAAGGACGTGATCACGAAAGTTCTTTCCCCAACGAAGACAATGGCACAAGAAGCCGCAAATCTGCCGAAAGTGGTGACGGCTAACAAAAAGCGGGCCGTGCGACTGTGCGACATTAACAAAAGGAAGAAGAAGAAGAAGAAATGGAAGCGGGGACGAGCAGCCCACCTTATGTTCATCTCCGAAGAGGAGCAAGCCAAGTTAGCCCACGATGTACCTCCTGCCATACCACGTAAAATCTACTCCAACCCTCACTGTTGTGAATTCGATGAAAGATGTTCCGAAGTATATTTGATTCGATTACAATGCACTGCTAGAATTCAAGGCTTCCTATATATAAAATCCTCTGAAGTTATGACGGTGTTCATCCGAATGACAGAGTTCAAAGACTAACAAAATGGTTTCCGGCGTTCACTTATGCGTGCTCAATTTACATTTCCCTGCTACTACAATCATCAAAATGAGGGCACACTGGCCACGTGGTTGTTTTATTGATGTTTTTGTTAAATTAGCTTATTATACTCGCATGATCGAACCTCACCTGACCAAGACGAACCTCCCCATAACTTTTTAGACCAAAAGATCGGTGCACCATGTTAAATAGAAAACGTAAGGAGTAGAAGTTGTTCGTAAATGATCGCATTAGAATGCTAACCGAATGGGCAGCTCGTTCACGAGGTATCGGCGAACTCTGTCTACACATTGCAATATATCTCACTTTTTCTTAAAACCCTGGTGTTTGGCGGTATCGCCTGAGATCTTGATGATTTTTTTTCAGCCCATCTGCATCGCCATGGAGTTCTTGAACGGAATACCACGAAAGAAATCCTTTCTGACTCGATGTTGCTTCCTTCTACTCTTTGCTGCAGCTCTTTCATTTCTACGCTTGTATGTGAACAATTTCACATCGCCAAAGTTCACTGAGTTGGACAATGCAGCTGCATTTGTTCCTGATCCACTTCTTCGGGTTTGTCCTTACCTCCACTTTGGAACGAGAAAAGTATCCTTTACTCACGATATTTCAGTTGGCATCTTACAGCCATCTGTGGCTCATAAACCTTCGCCTTCTAATCCTACCGTATTCCCTCTGCTTCGACTATTCAATGGGTTGCATTCCGGTCGTACAGAACTGGACAGACCTTCGTGCTCTTGCACTGCCAACTGTACTGGCACTGGTGCTCGGCGGCACATACGTCTTGCTCAAAACCAACGACTGGTAAGAACATTGTCAGAAATGTGTCATATGCATCACATTAAGTGCTATTTCAGGTTGCTTTGCATTGGAGCCGTCATCGGTGTTATCACTTTCCTACCGGCAAGTAATCTGCTCGTTACTGTTGGTTTCACCGTTGCTGAAAGAGTTCTGTACCTGCCGTCTGTGGGAATGTGCATCATCATGGCTCGGATATTCGAGATAGCACGACGTCGAATCCAAAACGCCGAGAAGTTCTTAATTGCGGTTCTGGTCATCGCTATGACGATGACTTATCAGGCAAGTGGATCTTATAGTTGTTCAGAAAGTGAGCGTCCAAAAGACATGGGTAGAGAAAGAATCAAAAAATCATCTCAAATTCCATCTTCCTGAAGCTCCAGTTATGTGCAGGGCTCTTTCCGTTCTACTACCATTGATATCAAAGAAAAGCTATTCCAGACTTGATTGTCTTTTTCGAAATATGCCATACCTTTAGCTCCTACTCTAAATCCAGAGCTTCCAGACAGGCTCACAATGACTATTCCATAAGATCTAGTCAAAAAAAGTTTAGCCCCCGATCATCGTTATTCTTACAATACTGCTACTAATTCGGAGTCAGCCGTTGTTCACTGTCGCTTTGCTATGACATTTGCTAGAGAGCCTCTATGAAGTTGGGAATATGGTTATCGGGAAGCCAGCGTATTGCAATGAATTTTTCTTTTTTAGCCTAATTTAATGCAGCAGAGTGGGGCATTTGAGCAAGACGAAGTTATACCAAGAAGTAAATCATTCACGGGAAAAACCCAAAGTCGACCCGATTCTCGGGTGGGTGATGGGTCATACAGGGTGCGGTGCATTAGGAACGAAATGGTCGCGTCGCGGTGAGAGGGGCGTCGCGCGCNNGCATATCGATTGAGCTGTATGAAGAACGCTAGAGCTGTAATAACGCGAATGTGATCCGCGACAGCCGCGTGCGGCAAACCGATTATCCAAAATCGTTCCTAACGCCCGTCTTCCGATCATACAGGATAAAGTACTATATGACGTTACAAACCGTCAGAACACCATTGACCACCAACAGTGGTGCAGTTCGAAGAAACTGGTGAATGACCCAAAGTAGTCCCCTCTGCTAGAATACACACATTTCTATTGGTATGTAGTTATTGTACTGAAGATAAATTGCTAATTGTCCAAGTTGTTTCAGCGCTGTGAGGAATGGCGTACTGAGCTCGACCTTTACGCAAGTGGTCTACGTGTCTGCTCGCAAAACGCTAAAGTTCACTACAACCTTGGCAAAGTTCTAAGCAAAATCGGTGACGTGACTGGAGCGGAACACAATTATTGGAATGCTATCCGGTGAGTAAACTGTGTGGACTCGTTCGAACGGAGACGTTGTCGCAAAATCCAAAAAAAAACTCTCGCCTCTCTTTTGTTAGGTTGAATCCGAACTATGAGCATGCAATGAATAATTTGGCAAACATTCTGGAGGCCAAGGGACGAAGTGGAGAAGCTGAAATTCTCCTCAGAAAGGCACTCAGGGGCCGTCCTACGTTCGCCGTTGCCTGGATGAATCTTGGCATCACCCTGATGAACCAGGGAAGATACGAGGTAAGCACCTCATCGGCAATGATCTATGAAGTATCCCTTATACAGCATTTTCATTCGCCTCAACGGGTGCATTTTATCGAAACCTCCTGCAGCCTTTCAGCATAGATGGAACTTGGGGGCAATGCGAAATAGTCCGCGTTATCCAAGCTCTAGGAATAGGCGAACGTCCGTTGCGCGCGTCCGTCGAAGGTAGGTCACCCCGCCCACTTCGCTCGCGACGCACCCCACTGAGGTCTGAGATGACATTACGGTACCATTAAGTGTGAGTGGAGCAAACGATTTGAATTTGCCCATGTTATCTTCTCATTGGCTGACTGCCGTGGACCAAGCGCAAACCG